TGTGCCCCCCCCCCCCCCCATCCCGCAACCATTAAGTTGTTCTCTGTATGTATGAGTTTGTGGTTTAGTTTTTTAGATCCCACATATAAATGACATCATGCAATTTTTGTTCTTCTCTGACTTATTTCACTCGGCATAATTCCCTCTAGGTCCGTCCATGTTGTTGCGATGGCCAGATTTCATTCTTTCCTCTTTATTGCTGAGTGACAGTCTATTGTGTATTTGTACCATGTCTTCTTCACCCACTTGTCAATTGGTGGACACCTAGGTTGTGTCCATACCTTGGCTATTGTAAATAATGCTGCAGGGAACATAGGGGTGCAGATCTCTTTTTAAATTTATCTTTAGATAAATACTCAGAAGTGGAATGCTGAGTCATGTGGTAGTTCTGTAACTTTTAAAGAAACCTCCATACTGTTTTCTATGGCTGCACCGATTTACAGTCATTGAGGCTACCATTCTAACAGGTGTGAGGTGTTATCTCATTGTGGTTTTAATTTGCATTTCCCTGATGATTAGTGTTGAGATCTTGGCCATCTGTATGTCCTCTTGGGAGAAATGTCTATTGGGGTCCTCTGCCCATTTTTTAAAAAATTAATCCTTACCCAAGGATATTTTTTTCCATTGAGTTTTTTTTTTTTTTTTAGAGAGTGAAAAAGAGAAAGGGAGGGCGGGAATAAGTCTTGGGGAGAGGAAGGGAGAGAAAGAAACACTGACTTGAGGGAGACAAGTCAAGTGATTGCCTCCCACAGGCACCAGGGAACAATCCTGCAATCCAGGTGCATGCCCTTGACCGGAAATCGAACCCTTGGACCTTTGATCTATAAGCCAGTACCAGGCTGTTTTGATTACAGTGGCTTTGTAGGATAACTTGATAACCAGAATCGTGATTCCTCCAAGTTTGTTCTTCTTTCTCAAGATGGTCCCTTTATCATTATGAAATGCCCTTCTTTGCTTCTTGTTATGGCCCTCGTTTGAAGTCTTATAGCCCTTGTTAAAAGTCTTATTTTATGTGACATAAGTATTGCTACCCTAGCTATTTTTATTTCCATTTTCATGAAATGTCTTTTTTTACCCCTTTATGTCTGTGTGTGGCTTTCAACCTGAGGTGGGTCTCTTGTAGACAGCTTATATATGGGTCTTTTTTATTTCATTTATTTTAGTTAAACTTATTTATTTAAAAAAATCTTTATTGTTGAAAGTATTACATATGTCCCCTTCCCCACCCCATCCAGCCCAACCCTGCCCCCCACCTTAGACTCTCACCACCCCACTGTCTATGTCCAGGGGTTATGCATTATATATGGGTCTTTTTATTTTTTAAAAATATATTTTTATTGATTTCAGAGAGGAAAGTAGAGGGAGAGATAGAAACTCAATGATGGGAGAGAATCATTGATCAGCTGCCTCCTGCACACCCCCCCACTAGGGACCGAGCCCAAAACCAGGGCATGTGCCCTTGACCAGAATTGAACACAGAACCCTTCAGTCCGCAGGCTGACACTTTATCCACTGAGCCAAACCAGCTAGGGCTATATCGGTCTTTAAAAAAAAAAAATCCATTTAGTCAGCCTGTGTCTTTGGTTGGAACAATGAATACATTTACACTTAAAGTAATTACTGATAGTTATAGAATTACTGACATTTTATTCATTGTGTTTGTAATTCCTTCCTGTTCCTTTTTTATTCTCTTGCACTCTTGTATAATGATGACTTTCTAGTGTTGTGTTTAGATTCTTTTTATTTCTTGTATATCCCTTGTAGATTTTTGGTTTGTGGTTACCATGTTCTTCATATATACCACACTATGTTTATAGCAGTCTATTTTAAGTTAATGGTCACTTAACTTGGAACACATTTTAAAATCATTACTTTATACTCACCCTCTCCACATTTATTTTTGTCATTACTTTTAAAACCTTTTTTTGAGACTGTTTGTATATATCCCTTAATTTATTGTTGTAATCACACACGATCTTACTTTTATCTTTTAATTTTTTGTACTAGCTTTATAGTTGGTTGATCCATTGCTTTTACTGAATGTTTGCCTTTACCGAGTGAGAATCTTTTTCTTTCCTATTTTGATTCTTTAATCCTTACCTGAGGACATTTTTTCCAATGATTTCCAGAGAGATTGAGTAGGAGAGAGGGTGGAGGGGAGGGAGGGAGAGGAACATTGATGTGAGAGACACACATCAATTGGTTGCCTCTTGCACGCACCCAGACTGGGGCTGGGAAACCTGCATCCGAGGTACGTGCCCTTGACCAGGAATTGAACCTGAGACCCTTTTGTCCATGGGCCAATGCTCTACCCACTGAGTCAAACCGGCCAGGATTCTGGGCTTGGAGGCGACTATGCTACGAACTGAGGCCAAATGCCAGTTGTGTTGGGCTGCATTTATAACAATGTGAGGGCAGGAAGAAGAACCAGCCTTCTGCAGGTCTAAAGAGCTGGACGAAGCAACTCCGGTTAGTGTGGTCCACAC